CTATGTGAAACGACATCTTATTTAAACATTAAACTTTGGCTAATGGAATCAATGGTAACACAAATGTTAACTTGCTTTACTATGCTTACAATACGTCTACTCGCTATAGTATCCAAAGGAACACTGATTGAGGAAATTTAGACAAGTGAACACCGCGCGGTAATTCCCCTACTCGGTTCTAAAGTGAGTAGGGGAATTACCGCGCGCTGTTCACTAAACGTATGCATTATTTGCGGGAATCCCCGAAAATGCGTTTCGTTTTCAAGCAAAGACAATGTGAGGGTTGCCATTCGTGTAAAAAAGTAAATAACTACCGATGACGTAATCATCATCTAGACGCCCCCCGCCCCCAATAGTGCTCACGTAATACTTGAACGGCCACCTATTAACGAATAATTTGATTTTAATCAGGGCACGGGATGATATAGAAGATGTAAATGGCCTTTTGATTTTACTGCAATCGGTGGCGTCGATGATAGTTATAGCCTCAAGCCTTTTCGTTTCCATCAAAGTGAGTTGTTCTTGAACGATTATTTTTCAATTCTCTTATTTTGTACATGGAATTAAATAACCATTTGCCAGGTCCCGTTAGCTTCTCCCGAATTTCTCTCCCAATCACAATATGGCTGCAACATATTACTACAGCTGTTTTTGATATGTTACTTTGGAAATGAGATTACTGTATCAGTGAGTAAAGCTTCCTTATTTATTATAACCTTCCTAGTAATTTATTCATGAGTATGGCACTTTTTGTATCAATCTGATTATAATTATCCGTTTTTTTGTTGTAGAGTGAACGAATTAGTAGCGCTGTGTACGAATCCGATTGGTATTCTGCCAGTCCGAGATTTAAAAAATCCATAATATTGACCATGTGTAGAATGCAAAAGAACATTTTCGTGACAGCATTTAAATTTTCACCTTTAACGTTGACCAGCTTTGTCGCAGTGAGTGTCTTTAATTTGATATCTGTTTTTACATTTAGCATTTACTTTTGCTCATTTCAGGTTGTGAGACACTCATTTTCTTATTTAGCCGTATTTCAAACTATGTAAAGGAGAAATCACAGTCGCATAAATAAATAATACCCATGTATGTTATTTTTATTATTTCTTACACGAATAAATATCAGTAGCAGCGATGCCGTTTTTGATTAATTCTTCGAAATTTCGTTAGCTTAGTTACTCGTCAATGCACGTATTTGGAAAATATATCAGAACGTCATAAATGCATAATTTGTCTAATGCAAAGTAATTCATAAACGGTAAATACGATACGAAGCCAATGGCAACCCTTATAAAACATTTGATCGTCATCTGTTTGTGGGAGCGCGATCGTTTGCGATCAGTCGTTGCCAATATCGTAGTTGGCCAGTCGTGTGGGCAGCAACAGCGGCAAATGCAAATTATGGAAATATGCGGTTTCTACACGATAAAACAATCGACTGCCGTGTTCGATTCATGTGCCTATGGCGGCTTCTACGTATACCGCAATGCTAGAATGCATTTTTGTCAACACGCCAATATAGTCTAGGTGACTTCTTATTGTTTTTCAAATTACGAATTATACAAAAATAAAGTAAGCCTAGGGTGAATGTATCAGTGGTAGGACAATTTAGATAAAAACGCAATGCAAACTGGAATTACGAATTTTGCGTTCAAGAAAACACAACTAATGCTTTTAGAGGTGATCAGATATGTTGTTAACTTTTCGCTGACAACAAGTACATTGTTTATATGTAGATATTTCTGTAATTTTATTAAAAAAAATAAGCATAAAGGTGCTATTTTGCCAGTACTCGGGCAGAATGTGTTATTTAACTAGTCGACAGCATTTGATTGGACAGTTTCAGACAACACCGTATTCGTGATAGTAGAATAGAAATTTCCAATCAGCTGACATTGAGACTGAGGAAAAGAAATTAAACACACAGTCACTGAGCATTCAATATAGGTATTTTTATGAAAAATACATACAAATCAGGTAAAAATGATCAAGAAACTAATATTTTCCTTTAATCCGGTCTTGCACTGTCGACTTTGGACTAGCATACTGTTTACATATTTCAAGCAATTTCTCAACATTTCTCACAGCTTCGACTGTTTTCTTTAGCCTATATACAGGATTATTTTTTTCTTGTATCCATTCCCGAATGAAGTGGAAATGTGAAATTTTATTTCACACTCTCGTGAAAAAATGGCGGCAAAATAAAAGTAGCCGGCTATCGGGATGCTATGAAAATTCGTTCATTCCAGTAGACTGACAATACCACTAGCCATAATCAACATTATTTGTTATCTTTCGCTGTCCGTCCACTGGTTGGGGCTTCAGTCGTATTTCGGTTTGCTAATTCCAATAGAAAAGTTTGATGGTTTCTATGTTTAAAGAGAAAAAGATAGATTGATAACGACCAAGTCATTCCAATAGTCGAACAAGTGACTAGCATGTGATGATCCAGTCAGCGGCCACTCCAATTTGACCTCAAAATGTAAAAATAACATATTAAGATTAATTTTGTTTGTATGAAATTCAGCATGCTGTCAGTTTTTTTCATTGACCAACTAAAGTCATTTGCCTTCATTCGTTTATGAAATTCAATTAAAAATTCTAGTGGTTTTTCCATACACGCATCAGGTACCATTTTTCCTGTAATCTTCTCACACTGTTATGTAATAAAGACCAGTCGTAAAAAAAGAAATGTCGAACTATCGACTTAACTACAACATGATATAACTAAACTCAAAATCCGTCTAGCTGTTGGTATCGCGCCAAAAATGCATGGTAAAAGCAAGTCGGGAATCAATAATTAAAACTATACGAATAGGTGTGGTAGCAAATAATTAGCAACTACAAACGCGCCAGCAGAACGTATAGCAATATGTTTAAAACATTTAGTCGATGTCTCAATCTGGTTGTATACGATATATGGCATCCGCTCAACTGCTTTTAGACAGAATTTTTTACAGAATTCTGCGGGTGAATTGGCGTCCGCAGAAATAACATCTATAATCCGAAATCAGGAGAACAGAAAGGTCCAAAGTGTTTTACGAAGTATATTCACAGAATCTGTCGAGGTTCGAATGTTACTCTTTGTCGTTTATATTCTCCTGATATGAAAAACGCATGTCTGCTCCGATCGAGAATTCCACAAATCTTTGTGACGTCATTCGAAGAACATTATCACTTGATACCTAAGCGAGAGCGTCTTTTGGAGTACGACGTTTCTGTCATGTATAGGACGACCAGCAGCTCAACAGCAAACAAGACTAAGGAAATAAGAATCAGCCTTGAGATGTAGCAGCAGTTTCTAATATTATCTGGTATCTCGCATATTCTTGGCTACATTGTATAGATATAGACACATAGACTTCATTCCTCAGCAAATGATCAGCTATTTATGAACAAAAACAAAAGGTAAAATCCAGTAGTGGGTCGCTTATAGGCAACCAGTAATGCAAGCCGAACTAAGGAGGCTGTAACCGGAAATTTGGCAGAGAGGTAGCTTTTACAATGAAAAATTTAGTTGATGTTAAAAAGCTCATTTCAAAAAATTGATAATACAGGGTGCGGCAGAGAGGATGGACGGTTTTAAAAAAATCATAAAATAGTTAATTTTTACTCGAAAACAAATTTATTGATGGAATCAGGTTCACAAGGAAATAGCATTTGAGACAGTCAAGTGTGGAAAATCACATCAGGCATGTGGTGGCCGAAATCGTTGATGCAGTGCTGGAGGCGTTCTTGGAAGTTCGCGTAAACTCTCTCCAACATCGCTCTCTCAACTTGGGTGACTTCCACGCGAATTTCGCCCTTCAATTCGTCCAGAGTTCGGGGCTTGTTCGCGTATACTCTAGCCTTGAGGTGTACCCATAAGAAAAAATCGCATATGGATAAATCTGGGGACCGAGGAGGCCAATGAACATCGCCAAACCTGGAAATAAGGCGACCAGGGAAGAGAGGGCGAATAACGTCCATGGGTGCTCGGGCTGTGTGGGCGGTCGCGCCATCCTGCTGGAACCACACACGTTGGATTGGAACACGTCGCCGTCATATACAGGGTGACTTCAAAGTTGAGTCATTTATTTTAACAGTGAGTAGATCTGATCAAAATAAATGTTTTTTTCCTTTAACATTTTTGTGGTAAAATTAAAGTAACAAAGTTATAGCCCTTTAGAAGTCTAAGTACCGCCCTGTCTCAAAAATAATATTATGTGCTCGTGTTTGGCAACAACGGATATAATCCGCCTTATCGGTTCATCGCATCGGCAACCAAAAAGCGAAAGAATTTGAAACGCTTATCACGATGTTTTTACTACAATTTTATTCAGTTGTATTCAGTCAATGTGTCAGTCGGTAACGCGTGAGTGAATAGTGGTGTTTGTTGCGTGGCTCAAACGAAATAAAAAATGGCACATGTTTACGAAGATACTGAACTTGTGGAGGGGGGGGGGGCGGATCGGTTTCCCAATCGAGTGCCTTTGTTAATATAGTACAAAGGGCTCGTGAATCAGGTGACTTAAGACTTCACAGGGGAGGGCAGGCCGGTGCTCCAAGACCGCACGGTCAAATACAGGTCCGCACTGAAATACTTGTCGGGAGGATACTAAAGATAAAAAAAAATTTAATTTTTTTTACACATATTTTGGTTTATCTTCCTTATACAATCATTGTCTGAAAATTAATGACTCAACTTCATGAAAAGATGAAGAATCGGTCATCTGTCATTGTAACTTTCGAGGTAGTCTGTCTATGCCTTCGCGACTCTCTTTTCCGTCATTGGCGTTTCGGTAGCAGCTGGTTAGCGGCGTCCCGTTCTCGTGCATTTTCGGCAAAGTAACCCCCGTCTGTCCATGTCCTGCTTCCGAATTCAGGATCCCGTCTCGATCCATACGACAGAGTTAACAGCAACCGCGCAAGGTGTCGCTGCCTGTCTACGTCCTTCTTTATATTCGCCGTCCCGGTTGGATGACAGGGACAGGGCAAAAGGGCTGCTGCCTGCGCAACAGTCTGCAATCCATCAGAGTATCGGAATCTGCCGTTTTTGAAGGGCAAAACCCTTCCGACGCGGATGTTGTGTTGCTCTAACTTCAGTGGTGTAGCCGTCGCTGCCCGCTGCATTGTTGATTTTCTGCAGCTTTCCCGTGTTTGAAGCTGCTCTTCTGCATCGTCATCTTTGTGCGATAACTGTTTACCCGCCAGAAAGTAGTGTCGTACGGAAGAACGATAGTGAGTTTTTCATTTGATCTCTTCTCCGTTGCTACAACCGCCGGTAAGCCTCTTTTTCAGATTCGTTTGAAATTCAACCATACAAACAGTTACCAAATGAATAATTGTTGTTTATTGCGATCACGAATCTGAGATAAATTACTTTTTGGCAGTTTAACATATCCATGCTGAATTTTTGGAAATCACTACGTTGCTGGTAACGAATTAACCTAAACATCTAAACATCATTAAAATGTTTCTTTTTGTATACAGGGTGGCGCATCGAAAACGAAACAGACGCATATACTGGCAGGTCATTTTTTTTTGGAAAAACGTTCAGACCCGTCGATTTTGTTTTCGAGGTGGACACAAGTTTGGCAAAAAATCACGTTAAAACGTGCAGTCCCCTGGGTGGGGGTGACTCCAACCCTAAAATCTTAAATAGAAAGGGAGATCGAGTGATACCTTATTTAAAGGTCTTTCAATTCCCTTTATAATGATGTAAAACAAATGAGCTTCAGTTCAGTAGTTTTGAAGATTTATTGATTTAAAGCGTAAAGTAGACTTTAATAGGTACATCAGATTAGTTTGTACTACTTTCAGAAGAAATTTGACTAAAAGAATTTACTTAATAAGTAAATGCTTTTCTTCACTACGCCCATGGTTTGTTTATCATTTTGTTGTTGAAAATAGCTACTGGAGCGTTTTTTTGTGGCAAAATAGTTATTTCATGAAGAAAGATAAGGAAATATATCGTGCTTCTTTTAAATAGGAATTTAGTATATGGTTTGCGATTGATTTGACCAAACTTTGTTGCTAAAATAACTGGTAACGCTTTATTACATAAATTAACCATGGTATATTCCACAGCAGAAAGAGTTGAAATTATCGAAATATTTTTAATAGAACAGTAGAAATATTTAATGAGCGATATGAGCACAGTGACGTGCATCGAAAATATGTTACAGCTAAATTTCGGGAAATTGGGTCAGTCGCCAATAAAAAACGCAACATTGAAAATCCCATAACGAACGAAGCAATAGAAGTGGGGGTTTTAGGGCAAGTTTATGTAGATCCTACGTTAAGTACCCGCAAATTGGAGACTGTGCGTGGTGTTAGTCGACGTACTGTCCAACGGATTCTAATGGCCCATAGTTTTCATCCGTATAAAATTCACCTGGTACAAGAACTTAATGAAGACGATTTTGATCGGCGATTACAATTTTGTGAAGATATGAGTGAACGAATTATAAACGATGAACATTTTCTATTCAACACTTGTTTTTCCGACGAATGTTCCTTTTTCTTAAATGGCGTAATAAATCGTCATAACTGCCTATATTGGTCCGATCCTAATCCCAGAATTTATCAAGAGGTTCGTACACAGCAGCCACAAAAATTAAATGTTTGGGCTGGTAATTTTGGCGATCATTTAGTTAGTCCTTTTTTCTTAGCTGGAAATTTGACTGGTGAAATGTATTTGGAATTACTGGAAGACGCCATAAATCCTGCATTAACAGCCATAAATGAAAATCAGAATGATCGGCGGTACATTGCAAATAGGTTGATGTTCCAACAGGATGGTGTCGCACCACATTACGCATTACGTGTTCGACAATATTTACATCAGACGGTTCCAGATCGATGGATTGGCAGAAGAGGTGCCATTGAATGGCCCTCAAGATCGCCAGATTTATCACCTTTGGATTTCTTTATGTGGGCTCATTTAAAAAGCAAAATCTATGCTACTCAGCCAACATCATAAGAAGACCTGTGACAAAGAATTGTGAATGATTGTCTTCAAATTACTCCTCAAATATTGCAAAATGTGCGGCAACGTTTTGACCAAAATCTTTATTATTGCATGGAGAGTCATGGTGGCCATTCTCAACATTTACTTGCCTAACGTGTCAGTTCATTCTTCATCTTTAAATTAGTTTGCTACCAAATGTATTGATCTCCACTAATGATGATGTATTAGTTTTATTTAAGCTTTAAATCAATAAATCTTCAAAACTACTGAACTGAAGTACATTCATTTTATATCATTATAGAGGGAATTCAAAAACTTTTAAAATGAGGTATCACTCGACTCCCCTTTCCATTTAAAATTTTGGGGGTGTTGTCACCCCCGCTTAGGGGCTGCACGTGGTAACGTGATTTTTTGCCAAACTTGTGTCCCCCTCGAAAACAAAATCGACGGGTCTGAGCGTGTCTCAAAAACAAACTGAGCTGCCAGTAAATGTTTCGTATTCGATGCGCCACCCTGTATATACAGGGTGAATTCGAAGTTGAGTCATTTATTTTAACAGTCAGTAGATCTGATCAAAAGAAATGTTTTTTTCCTTTAACATTTTTCTGGTAAAATTAAAGTAACAAAGTTATAGCCCTTTAGAAGTTTGAGTACCGGCCTGTCTCAATAATAATATTATGTGCTCGTGTTTGGCAACAACGGATATAATCCGCCTTATCCGTTCATCGCATCGGAAACAAAAAAGCGAAAGAATTTAAAACGATGTTTTTACTACAATGTACAATTTTATTCAGTTGTATTTAGTCGATGTGTCAGTCGGTAATGCGTGAGTGAATAGTGGTGTTTGTTGCGTGGCTCAAACGATATAAAAAATGGCACATGTTTATGAAAATGCTGAATGTAGTACAAAGGGCTCGTGAATCAGGTGACTTAAGACCTCACAGGGGAGGGCATGCCGGTGCTCCAAGACCGCACGATCAAATACAGATCCGCACTGAAATACTTGTCGGGAGGATACTTTATAAAACAAGGTAACATTTTTTTTTAATTTTTTTTTATTTTTACACATATTTTGGTTTATCTTCCTTCTACAATCATCATCTGAAAATTAATGACTCAACTTCAAAGTCACCCTGTATATATATATATATATATATATATATACATGGCACAGTTAAATTTTTAGGACGATAAAAATGAAATGTAAGTAAGTTTGTTATTATTCTCAAGCATCGTCACTGAAGAGCAAACACCTTCGATACATGACATGAATGATCCCAAATAACTGGTATATGTTACACTCCAGTTCAATACTTCCTCGTCTATCCATAGAAAGTGGAAAAATACTTTGAAATCTTGGTGGAATAACAACTTCATAAAAGCATCTAGATAAGTAGAACTGACTAATGCGAACAAGTGGCTCCGGTATACATGACCCATTAAAGAAATAATTGTATCAAATGCTTCTGATCAACTATATCTGATATGATAATCATAATACCACATAACAAAAAAATCTTAACTATGTTAGAAATAACAAAAAAGACTAATATAAGAAAAATGAGTAACCGACCAGATTCGAATGACTTCTGATAAATGGCTATAGAATGGTCAATAACCAAACGAAATGCATCGAACTGATATACAGGGTGACTTCGAAGTTGAGTCATTTATTTTAACAGTGAGTAGATCTGATCAAAAGAAATGTTTTTTTCCTTTACCATTTTTCTGGTAAAATTAAAGTAACAAAGTTATAGCCCTTTGGAAGTTTGAGTACGGCCCTGTCTCAATAATAATATCATGTGCTCGGGTTTGGCAACAACGGATATAATCCGCCTTATCGGTTCATCGCATCGGAAACAAAAAAGCGAAAGAATTTGGAACGATGTTTTTACAATTATTTTATTCAGTTCAGTTATATATACAGTCAGTGTCAGTCGGTAGCGTGTGTGAATAGTGTCTGTTGCGTGGCTCAAACGAAATAAAAAATGGCACATGTTTATGCGGATCGGTTTTCCAATCGAGTGCAACCAACCCCTCGTGCCTTTGTTAATGTAGTACAACGGGCTCATGAATCAGGTGACTTAAGACCTCACAGGGGACCTCACGATCAAATACAGGTCCGCACTGAAATACTTGTCGGGAGGATACTTTATAAAACAAGGTAGAACTTTTTTTTTATTTTTTTTTTATTTTTACACACATATTTTGGTTGATCTTCCTTCTACAATCATTATCTGAAAATTAATGACTCAACTTCAAAGTCACCCTGTATATGATAGAATTTTTATAAGAAACAGATTTCTCTATTACCCGATAGTATGAATGATATAGAAGTTGCCATGAAATTAGAAAATAATAGTGTGGCGACTGGTTCGTGCATCCGGTCCCGCTGGCTGCAGACGACGGCGATAGGAAGACGAGAAAAGCGACCAATCGGAATCGTTTTGAATGATTCTACAAATGAACGCCCCGCCCCGCTACGCCTGCAGCATGTAGTACCAATATAGTATCGGCACCGGCTACCCGGCTACCGATGCAGCAGTTTTTAAAACTCTCAACGTGATCGCGCTCGCACGCAACATCTCAATACAGTGCCATCAGTCTGTTAATATGGCTTATACGTGATTAATAAAAACTGAATGTGTGTCGTTGAACTTACGGCAAAATGGTTTTGATGGATCTGCCTTCGGCTATAAGACGCCATCGCCTTGTCGATAGCGATGTCGCACCTCGAAGGAGGGATCCTGTCGAATCATCCAATTTTCCCGTCGATTTCGCGCTGACGCTCGCAAACTGGTTGTAAGTTACATCTCGACAGAGCCAACGGTGACACGGTCCCAACCCTCCCACGCTCTCCGTATCTGACACAATTAGAAAAATCACACTAAAAGCATCTTGACAAACCCAGGACAAAAAACGGCGTCAAGCAGGTTGATTCTATACTTCCTACGCGTTCACTGGATGTTTGTTTCAAAGAAAAGGGATAAGGCGCAAATCTTTTCGAACGGTACGACGAATCTTCAACGTCTGCACACCAAACTATGTGTGTTAAGCAAATCTATTATATTTCTGTTTCCAAGGCAGATGTAGGGAAAATATGTGTGACATATTATGTCTAACAGGTGCATAGTATCACTGAGATCAGCAGCTTCTTGATAATAGAAAGTGACTGACACCAAATATGCAACAATTTACAACCATTTCCCTCATACAGATTCCAACCTACAATTTTCATCATCCGACTATGTCTGAAAATGAGCGGGAATCTCCGAAACGTTGAAGCACTATGTTCCGGTGACCGCAAACCA